CACCGCACCTGGGCCTTTCTCCCTACTCCTTCACTTCTGCGGGAGCATCTGGGCTCTTCCATTAGTCTCTAAAGAGAGCATCAAGACCTCAGCCTCCTAGAGAAGGGTGAGGGTTTCTGGCGGGCGGGATGCTTTCAGGGCTTACATTTTCAAGCTTGAGGCGGGTTGTAGGGTCTAGGGCTTTAGGGAACCCTCTGTCATGTTTTCGACCTAGAATGTGGGGCCCAAATTCTTGAAGCGCAAAGGTGCGACACGTTCGGAAACCTGGAAAGAGTGACACCTAAAGCCGAAACAGAACGTCTAACCCAGAAGCCCAAAGCGCCAAGCCTGAACCCTAAACCCCAAATCCTAACCCCCCTTACCCCGAAACCCCGACTGCGGACCTTGGCAGGCTGGTATCCGCGGATGAGGATGAACTCATCCCGTGTGGGAGACCATTCCACTGCCTGAACATGGTTTCGAATTTAGGGGTGCCGGGTTTAAGGTTCAAAGAATGATTGAACTGTCGAGGGGGGTTCTGGATAGAGCTTAGGATTTGGGCTGCTAGGTTTGCTTAGAAGAACAGGACTTCCGTTCGATTTTTTATGCGAGCCAAACCCCTAAACCCGAAACCCTGCACCCTGCAGACCCTGCACCCGAAACTCTAATGGAGCTTCAGCGCTGAACCTCGGGTCCTTCTAGACGAAACTTGCTGGAGCTACGGCAGCTTTTATGGCTTGGGTTCATGGTTCAGGGTGGCTTGCTTCGTCCAACCCGGTGAAGGCACCAGTGAATACTTAAGATCGTCAGAGAAAGAAGCAGAATCCTGCCTCAAGGACCACGGAACCTAGCATCACTGACTATAAAGCTGTAATGCGTTCGTTTGCTTCTCAAGGTAAATTAAGGTAACCACGGTTATAGTAGGCACATACAGCCCAGCAAAAAAACTACTTCTAGCCTTCCTCACGAAGCCCCCCTGATCCTCTAAGTCCTAACCATCCCCCTGAACCCCTTGACATCGACTCAACACTGTGTAAAATGTAGGATGCTTAAGCGACAAGAGCTCTTCTCAAAAGAACGTGACATCTTGTGCCTCAAAACCCAGCACGCCATGTTGAGGGTTCGGGGTTCACGCCGTTTCCCGCATGGCCTGCACTGCCACACCCAGCGCACCAGAAGTTGCAGTGTCCGTCTCGGTGAGGTCCTGAGGATGACAAACAATGAGTTTAGGGTTTAAGGGTTCATGACCTAGGGTTTAGGTGTTTAAGGTTTGAGGGCTTAGGGTTTAGTGACTTCAGGGTTTAAGGGCTCAGGGCCTCAAGGGTTTAAGGGAAAGGGTTTGATGTCTTAGGGTTTGGAGCGTAAGTTTAGGGTTGGGGGCTTAGGATTAAGGATTGGGGTTTAGAGTCTTAGCTTGAGGGCCTGGCCCCCCATGTTGCAGGCTCCCGGTTCTTGGGGGTCTAGCTGAACCGACCCTGACACTATAGAGCTTAGGGTTTAGTGTGGGGTTTACCTGATAACCTATATGTTTAAGGACTTGAAGAAAGAAATCAAGACAAGGACCCCCAAAAAAGGGGCCCTAAACCCTAAACCCTATACCTACTTTCAAGGGGTTAATTTAAGGAAACCCAATAAAGCCGACAAGGAAGAACAGCAAAACCAAATAGCTCAATCCCGAACACAAAACACGAAACAGTGTACCCCAGTCCCACCCTAAAGCCTAAACCCTGAGCCGTGACTTGCGAAGTCTAAACTCCAAAGCCTCAACTCTGAGCACACAAAGCCCTAACCCCTCCTACAGGGGCCGTGAGAATAGGGTTCCGGGGTATATTATACTTTAATTCCATAAGGAAGAAACCCCAAAAGAGTCATGTTGGTAATTTACAGACTTAAAGACAGCCACCTGGCCCTATAACTCCAAAATATGAGGATCCGTAGAAAGAAGACACATGAAAACCCAGGGTTTCTTTATCAGGCCCCGATTACTTCTCTAAATTGATAAGTTTTCAGGCTTCCAAAATAGTGAGAGAGGTCCCCCAGTGATCCCGGGCACAAGGGCGCAAGGGCACAAGGGCACAAGGGCACGGCAAGGGCACGGCAAGGGCACCACAAGGGCACCACAAGGGCACGGCAAGGGCACAAGGGCACAAGGGCACAAGGGCACAAGGGCACAAGGGCACAAGGGCACAAGGGCACAGCACAAGGGCACAAGGGCACAAGGGCACAAGGGCACAAGGGCATGAGGGCATACGGGCACAAGAGCGCGAATGCACATAGACATATATACAAATATACAAGTATACATATACACATGTATACATTTCTACATATGTACACATATACATATAACACGTATAAAACATACATATGTATGTACATATACAAAAGTACAGATGTACATATATACATCTATACATATATATACACATATACGTATATAAACATGCAGATAATTACTTATGTACATATATACATTTTGATATATATATATATACATACATGCATGCATGCATGCATACATACATACACATATACATATGTACACGTACACATATATACACAAAACACGTGTACAGCCGAGAGAGGTACGGTACCTTTAAAGGACGTTTGAAAGTGGGCCGAGGCCGCTGCTTTCTGTACCTGGCCATCGGCGGATGCGAGAAGCCTGGCCCCAAAATCAGGGGTGTGGGCTTGATGAGGGCAGGGTTTGGGGTTTGGGTTTAGGGTATCTTGGGTTTGGGTTTCTGTTTTTTTTTCAGCACCTTCTTCCGCCTGCACTACTTACTGTCCATGCGAACGGAAGGCCAGTTCGGCCAGAGGGTTTTGGGTTTAGGGTTTGGGGTTTAGGGCGTTGGGTTTAGGGCAGGGCAAATGTAGAGCCGGAGCTCCGGGTTTCGCGCTTGGGTTTGCTGTTGAGGGTAACGGGGCTTCGGGTTTAGGGTGCAGGAATGTACTACCTGACGCAATGGTTGGCATTTTCTAATCGTGGTCACACACTTAGACTAAGGCTGCCATCCATTGGGTATTGCATAGAGTTGTATATGGAAGAGCTGGAAACATGCCCGAATGGGCTTTAGCGTGGGCACGAGGAGACTTTTGTCTATAGAGAAGCTACAAAACAACCGCCAAAACACTGGTGAATGTCAACCCTCCCTCCCACAAGGTGTATAAAGTCATGGATCCAAAAGGACTTGCATCCGAGCCCCACGGTGTAGCCCTTGAGGAAAAGCCTGGTCAGAACCCACCAACAGAACATCCAATACTTCAAAACGGGGACCCGTGCACCCTAAATCCTAAACCTCCAGCCCTAAACCCTGAATCCGAAACCCTAAATCCTAACACCCTGAAACCCTAAATCCGCACCCCCAGAACTCAAATGATTGAAAGAGTCTGCGAGAGCCATGTCGGAGCCACAGCTTCGTCTGTCCATAGTAGTTTTTGCCGGAGTCGTCAACCTGGCACTCGCCATGTAGGGGTCAGGGTTTAGTGTTGGAGAATTACTATGGGTTTAGGGTATTCTTGTTTCGGGTATAGTTAGTGGAGAGTTCAAATATTTCTCGGTGGGTTTAGGGTATTTTTGTTACGGGTTCAGTTAGGTAAAGGGTGTAAGTATTTTTGGGTGGCTTAGGGTAATTATTTGTGTTTCGGGTTCAGTGTTCCAGATTTGTAGAGGGAAAAGCTCTCGGAGATTTGGGCGGGTAGGTTTTGATAGAACTCGGGCAAATCCTAAAGGACGCCTATGACGGAAGAGCGCCCGAACTTCCTCCGATGGTCATCTCTGCACAAGGGGCTTCAGCTAGGAGCAGAACACTGCGCCGCAAAGGTCCAGGGCTAAGATTTTATAAGCGTTTTCGGGCTTTTATACGGTGAATATAGAGCTGTAGCGTGATTTGCGAGGAGATTTATGAAGTGCTTCTATCCTTTGTAGCACATACGTTGACCCTAACACACCGGCATCGGAACCATTTCCCAGGCCAAAGTATATCTGTATATACATATATATATATATACACACATAAATATATATATATATATATATATATATATCTTACTTGACTCTAGGGATTCATCCTTAGAGTGAGCTTCTTCCGGCTTCAACGATGATTCGGATTTGGGTGCAGGATAGAGCTCGCAAGATTCATGACGAGGCTGTGAAGTCTTCGGGTCTCGGAACAGTCAATCCCAAAAGAAGTAGATGCCCCAACTCGTCATACCGGATCGTTGATCGTAAATCTTACACCTCAATGCTTGAAACAGCAAACAAAAGCCCTAATTAAGCCCTACCCAAACCCTTTGGGTTTCCTCAACATGAAAGCTGCATGGCTTTTTGGTGCCGCCGGCGAGCCGCCTAGTACATTGAAGAGTGCGCCAAACGGGACGAACTGCCCAAAAAAAAGATCTGACCTTAAGGACGACATGACGCTCAAAGGTAGCGGCCTATACGCAATATACCGAGAATCCCCATGTAGTGCTTGAACCTTATAGACCCTCTGAGGGTTCACGCCGTCCTTAAGCGATGGTTTTTAGATTACTGAGAGGGAAAGCCCACGGGCTCCTGTTGGGGGCTTTCTGTGCGCTCCGGGGCGCCGGTCTACAGCACTTGATCCGTCCTTGCCAGTTCCTCAGGAAGGTACTGTAGGGGTTTTGATACTTGGAACGGGGTTTTGTGCCCTTTTTAGTAATTAGTATAACTGAAAGAAGAAGGAGCTCTTAGAGATACTAGCGGTGATTACTCCGGCCTCTAAAGTACCCGTGATTAGCTGGAGCTCGATAAGCCCACAAAAGGAGCCAATTCAGAGCACATCCTCACGCACAGGCTCTGCAAATTGTGCAGGTCTGTACATGTACCAGCCACTGACTGCTGCAACCCCAACGGGCGCCCTGAAACTTGCTCTCCACTCCGACGGAATGTCTCCTCAACCAGACGAGCTCCCAACCAGTTCCGACCAACTCACAAACAAACCCCAAAACCCTAAACCCAACCCGAAGATCTAGACCCAAATTCAGGGGACCTATAGGACCTATAGTCCCCCCTTTCCCTCAGAGACGGGTACGCCGCTGGCGCCCTCGTCCATCACCAAAGCTTCGAGAAAGACGACGAGATCTGCATGGCTCATCTCCTTCAGGGGCGAGGGCTTGAAAGGGAGGAGCGGTTGTCGGGTCTGAGGATTCAGGATGTCAGGTTTCCTGTCTGGGAATTTCATGTTTAGAGGTGTAATTACCCTAAGGCCCCAAAGTAGTTCCTTTTTGGGGGCTCATATTTAGAATCCTAAAGGTAATCCCAAAAAAGCAACTACTTTGGGGCCCGAATATGATCTAAGGAACACTCGCTGGGTCACGAGCCTGCCAGACCAGGATGACGGGGTGCACAATAAGGAGCCCGAAGGACAAGGTTACGGGCTTGGGGAATATGTATATATATATATATATATACATACTTGAGGGGCCTGACTTTAGGGTTTAGGGTTTAGGCTTTACGGCTTAGAGTCCACTTTAGTTAAATCCGCCGGTGGAGTATCAGGTCTCCTTAGCAGAGCTGAGTAGAGGCCCTGTGTACTTAATCGGATCCTTCTTGTAACTCCTGAATATTTAAGGGTTTAGGGTTTAGGGTTAATGATTTGATAAACCCAGTATTTTGGCGTCAGGGCAACGCAGTCTCGCACCTTGGCGATTTGCAATGGCGTCACGCCTGAGTTGTTGGGCGTGTTCATGTCCGCCTGGACCAGACAGAATCCTAGTATAGAAGTCGGAATCATCAACTAGAGTGGTGCTTGTTTCCCCTCGTAGTCCCTCTCGAGTTGTGGAATCATACCCCCGACCCCGCCCTGAACAAACACCGAATTCTGACCATCAAGCTTCCTATGATACGAAATTGTTCAAGCCTGAACCTGGTTTACAGTAGAAGCTTAAAACTTGGAAACCCAGTAGCCTCAATCCTTAAGAGTATTATATAGGGAATCCCAGCACTATTTGGCATTAATCCGGTTTCCAACTTTATGGGGTTTACTGTAGGGTTCAGGCTTGAGGGATCCCGATCCTGAAAGTGCCTGGGAAGTCTGCAGAGGAATTTGAAGGTCGGAAAGAGTGAACCTGATGTAGGGTTTAGGTATCGTTGCGGGTTTGATGTCCGAACCGCGCACTTTACACGCACACACCCACAGAAGCAAACCAAAAACCAACCACACCTGTAACAAACCAAACAAATCAACCAACCAACCAACCAACCAACCAACCAAACAAACAAACAAACAAATAGACACACAAACAAACAAACAAACCAATGTGCGAACAAGCTAACAAACAAACAACCAAACAGACAAACAAACAAACACAACAAACATACAAACAAACAAACACAACAACCAAACAAACGAAACAAACCAAACAACTAAACATCAATACAAACAAACACACGCACAGAGAGAGAGAGAGAGAGAGAGAGAGAGAGAGAGAGAGAAGAGAGAGAGAGAGAGAGAGAGAGAGAGAGAGAGAGAGAGAGAGAGAAGAGAGAGAGAGAGAGAAAGAGAGAGAGACAGAAACACCGGTCCTCCTGAAACTGAACAACCGCTCTGACACGCGCACGGAAATCTGATCCGTCAGGCTCTTCCTGTGGATCCTAGGGGTTGTAAACCCTGGACCTTGTAAAGCCCTACAGCGCCCTAACAAAATCCTAAAGGCAACCACTGAAGCCCTCATACGTGGGCTTGCAATTGCCAGACTTGTCATTCAAGGGGAGGGGATGGGGGCATGACATTGTATGGATATTCATTCGGCTATGTCCCACGTGCCTTTGCTTCTAAAAGCTCCTTGACGATGTTAATGTTGCCAGAACGGCAGGCCATCCAAAACCTCAAAAACGTTTGGCTCTGGCTTCGGTTTGGCTTAGGGTTTACGGCTGCGGTGGGTTGGCATTATCCGGGCAACCTAATATGTGAGGATCGAGCTTTCAAACGCCTAAGCAAGTGGTTTTGATTTACGTCTGGAACTTAGGTGCTGGAGTTTGGGGCGCGGGACACCAGAAACCGAACAAGGACACGGCCAAATGGTACAGAAGCCTTAATTATCCTGAATTTCTCAATATATGTATGTTGTATACTCATATACCCAAGACCTACTCTACTTATTTATGGAGGCCCCTATACTAACGCCCCAGTCGGTTGCAGCAAAGCAATCCGGCAAGTTGTCTGTATAAGGTTCGGCTCTGAAGGTCGCATACTACAGGGGCCTAAATCTTTGGTGTATGTTGTACTTCACTACCAGTACTATAGATATGCCGTTGATTCAGGCTGGTACAGGCAGCGTAGACTAAGTAGCTCTCTCGGTTCATTCCGAGCTCCTACCGTTGACATGACAAACGCCAAGTCGACGACTCCAACTGCCGGGGAACCTTACACTCCCAAACCTTCAAAAGCCGACGCTTGAAACGAAGCCCGAATCTCGAAACGTATGGGTGGTTGTCAAAAATTAGGGTCCCTGTTTGGGGTACCCTAAATATTAGGTACCGTATTATTATAAGGACCCAGAAAGGGACCTTAATATTGATAACCACCCATATGGTATAGGAGCGTCAGTGTTTAGAACAGGGTTGTGAGCTATATTTATGAGATAACCATCTAGAGGGGGGCAAGTTATACATCTAAACCAAGCTTCTTCCCTGCGTACACCTGCAACGCCAGGCATTCAACTTTGGTAGTTAATCTTGGAAGGGTTTAGAGTTCAGGGTTAACAAGTTATCTACTCAGATTCAGCTACCAAGAAAACTCAGCCCAGCTCTGGTGTCGCCTAAGACCCCACTTTCCTTGGTTCATAAGAGCTACTAGCTATAAACATAAACCCTAACCCCGAATCAAAAACGATGGCCTTTTGGAATGTTCTGCGGGAAATCATACTGTAAGTATAGTCGGGCCCATACATGTGTTGCTAATTATTCCGACCCCGCAGATTATCGAACTCTAAAACAAGTTGCGGCGTCTCCCCCTCATCCCTTAATCCTAACCCTGTATTACACCCTAAACCGAATGGGCCAAGCTGCGGTGTCTCCCCCTCATCACGCATCGCCTGATGGATGTCGGCCCCATAGGTGAGCAGTCGGTTGACCACGCGGAAACGACCATGCCTTGGTAGCGGAAGAAGTAGTAATTCTAGTCTGTTCGGTCCTTATCTAGTCATAGTATAGGCCTTTGCGGCTTTGGGGTTCAGCAAGGTAGGACCAGGTAGGAGCTACAGTTTATAGAGTTTGGACTTTGGCTACCCTCGGTCTTGCTATGTCAGCATGGAGCATCATTCACGCGTCAGTGGAAAACACAGTAGTCAATGCTGGCGCTTTCAAGATAGCATTAACACTTTGCTCCTATCACAAAGCCCTGGGGCTAAACCCCTCCCCACTACCCTAAAAAAGCCGACCAAACCGAGAGACTTGCATGCTCCCAAGAGTGGAGACATGCCGTTGCCGGCTGTCTTGTGGATCTGTGCAAGATTCTCCTGCCAGGAGAAACCGGACATCTACGGGCTGAGTTTAGGGTTTGAGATCTTGGTGCTTAGGTGCAGGGCTGAAAGTTCAACTAGCCTGTAACAGCATGATTCTACGATGCCTTTGAAGGCAAATAAATGGCCAGCAGAAGTTTGTCGGGTTCACAAACCGTCTGCGTGCAACAGCAGATCCCCGCCTGACAAATGAGGAGGCCGACACTGAGATCCAAATACTCAGAGGAACATCACAAGCCCCCAATCCTCCGGAATCCGGTTGAACAGGTTTGACGATGCACGGAGACACAGGAGTGACCATCGAGTCTGAGACATCACCAGGAGATTCCCCAAGAGCTTCATGGCTGAACCGGCTACCTCCGGCCCCCCAAAGGCTCAGAACATTGGAGCCTGAAATTAATGACAATTTTGGAGTTGTTTTAGCCGAAATTATATATACATGTATCTACATATATATATATATATTATATATATATATATACGGACTTTAAAAACTGGACACTACACTCACAATTTCGACTGGCCCCTTGTAATATTCGATAAACCTCGGTCCCCGGTTCCTCTTCGTTGTTTTCTGTTCCTGATGCAAAAATCATGGGCACCCAAGCTTGCTCGAGTCAGCGACGATACCAAGGACAACCCGCAGGGCGTCGGTATCCTCAATCGTTTCCTATCCCCAATCGAAACTCTAGCACCCTTGTGTGCCCGATGCCCTTTAGTTAAACCCTGAACCAGAACAAACCCCTAAACCCAAATTCAAAAACAAAACACAAAACCAACAACCCCGAAACACCCACAGAAGAAACTCAACAAACCGTGGCACCTATCCATACCTAGAAGCATATCTGGCCCAACAAGCTGAAGCCTTAAACCCTTATCTAGAACAACCAAACCCTACACCCTAAACCCTAAACCCCCTACCGGTCTCCAGCAGCAAAACCACCGCATCGTGCTGGCCATATGCCGATGCTGCCACCAGGGGTGTCACGCCCGTGGGCGTGGGCAGGTTCAAGTCCTGAGCTTTGTGTATGACCCCAAAAAAGCACACAAGCAAAAAATTAGGATAGGGATATCCCATATAAATCCCCCTATAATGAAGCCCAATAAGGTAGGGATATCCCCATCAAATGCTTATGCTTATGTGCTTTTTGGGTCCCTAACGCGTGCGCGTGTGTCTGAGCGGGTGTGTGTTGGCAAAAAAAGGCGGCGGGAGGGTAGTGAAGGGCTGTTTTGTTCGGGGTTTAAGGTTTTGTGCGCAATTTAATTAAGAAATTGAATTCGGGTTGCGCTTCTGTCAAAGGCTAGTCAAGGTCATCCTTGATCGAGGCTCTCAAAAATATGTATAATTACATACATGCAACATGAAACAGAAAGTCTATGTGTGTATAAGAAATATATATATATATATATATACACATACATATACATATACATATATGCATGCATGGATGCAAGGATGCATGGATGCATGGATGGAGGGGTGGAGGGATGGATGGATGGACGGAAGGATGGATGGATGGACGGATGGACAGACGGACGGATATTCAGACGGATGGACGCAGGGAGGGATGAAGGGATGGAGGGATGGCTGGATGGATGGATGGATACCTAAGCCCTAAACCCCTAAACCCAAACGGCCAAACCCTAAACCGATGTTGACCAAGACTTAATTAAACCCTAAACCCGAAAGCTACTAGTGGGGCCTTAGAAGCAAGAACGGGGTTTTCGGGGATAGGGTAACGTATGTCACGAAGGACTAACAATCAAGGGTTATTGATCAAGTATTCGAACTATTCAGATTCTTGTAGGTGACAGTATATAATATGACTGGTTGTCAAAATGATGGTCCCTGTTGGGGTACCCTGAGTTCTAGGTGCCGTAATATCCTAGGGACCCAAAAAGGGACCATAATTTTGACCACCGCCCATGTGAGTGCTTTTTAGTGTCACCGATCGCTTGTCTTCAAGCTGAGGCGCCGCACCCGCTCTCAGCAGGAGGCGTAAAGCTTCCATGTGGCCTTCCTCTGGGCTGTTAGGGTTTAGGGTTAAGGGTTGTAAGTAACCAAGGAGAAAAACGTATAGACTTTTATTTCATAATGGTTCCTTTAAGACAAAATGTATGAAAGTATGGTACTCCAAAGCCCAGTCCTTGGCAGCGATCGCCAGCGGTGTCCTGAAAGGGATTTAAGGAAGCCCTCAAGCTTATCTGGTCGACCCAGAACGAAACATAACACCAAACGGACCAAACCCTGAACCTCTTCGACCTGCGTCAAGAAAGGTTATTTGCCACAAGCAAAGGTTTCGGGCTGTTCAAAAACCAGAAAAGGCATGCAGCTCGCAGGCGGAACTTCCAGCCCTGACCGTGGCCCTAAATCCCGCCTGGCAGTTGGGTGTCTCTACGCAGACCCTCAACCTCTAGCACTCAGAGCACGGGGTGTAAATCCGAATCATTCGCACTCGACAATCTGCAGGAGAAGCACTAAACCTCCGGAACCGTGTACCTTCGAAGTTGACGTGCAACCCTGGGTTCAGGGCCGAGAATGCGGAAGCCTGAAACTTTGACGAGGGTTTGGATGATCGACCGCTCTTGGGTGGTAACTCTGTGAAAAGTTACGGAATCTGAAGGAACAGTAGTACGTACTAACCATTCATGCCATATAGTATGGTCCAGGTCCATGGTGCAGAGCGTGGAAGTTAAGGACTCAGTAGGCTCAGACAATATGCAGCCGAACCATGGTAAGATAACATAACAGCAGATACCCGTATATCATGTCACCTAATATAGTCTAGGATAGTACATAGGAATACCACATAATAACAAGTCGTAACATATCAACATATCACATCACATCATCCTGCACCATATCGCAAAATGCACTAGCCTTTGACACAATATCACATCGTGGAATAAAGAACCTTACAATGCCCTACCACTCATACCCTACCAGATCATACCATCTACTGCATCATGCCATATCACACATCAAATGATAGCATCGCATGTCATGTCTTAACATATCATATCAGATGCCATCTCATATCACATGCCATAGGGCATCTACCCTTCATATGACATGTATCATATAACCATATGTCTCTTCACATCTACAAATGAATACATATGTAGGTTTACACCTATACACACATAACTTACATGTGTACATATATATATATATGTATGTATGTATGTATGTATGTATGTATGTATGTTTATACATACACATGCATCCATATTATATGCACATATATGTTGTATGCGTATATATACATACATACATACATATTGAGTGTACTATATAACTATATAAGCTTTGTGTATTTAAGTTAAGTGCTTTGTAAAGGCTCGTTCCAGGAACCTCGTAGGCTCTGTCCGGGTGAGCCCTGGCCTTCCAAAGCCGGGGCAGAGGTAGGTTTTGAACTTCAAGCAGCGGGTTTAGGGTTTTAGGGTTTAGGAATCGATTAGGGCTTTAGGGTTTTCGGGGTTAGAGGTTTAGGATTTTTCTATTTCAAGTTCAGGGTTTCAGGTGTTTAGGGTTTGGGCTTTGGGAATTTAGGCTTTGGGGTTGAGGGGTTTAGGGCTCGGCTTGGAGGCGACAGTGTACGTGGCATTCAAACAGATGCACCCAAAGCTGCGATCAGACCCGAAACCTTTGCAATGCCACTCCCTGAGACCGACTGACACTGCAGCTTAAAACCGCCCAAACCACAAAGCCTACAGATCACTATAAGGGCGGTTGTCAAAATTATGGTCCCTTTTTGGGTCCTTATTATAATACGGCACCTAACATTTAGGGCACCCGAAAAGGGGGCATGACGTTGACAACTACCCATAAAATTTACAATTAAAACAAAAAAAGCTTGAGGGAACCTCCAACCCGAAACCCTATAGAACCCCTCTTGGAGCCCTAGAAACTACACCGGAAGGATCCCTAAAGCCTGGAGCGTAGAAAGCTGAAGGACCCAAAGCACTATCACGTATATTGCCCACATCCAGTGAGCTGCCATGGGGTTTGGGGTTTTAGGTTTTAGGTTTTCAGGTTTTAGGGCTTTAAAGTAGAAGCCGGAAAGTTGGAATATCATTATCATAACCCCTTTATGGTAAATTATAGGGTATCCTACCCTGAAACCACATTCCAACTTTCTGGAGTTCCCTTAATCCCAACCATGAGCTAGGACAATAGGGGATCCTGCCATTATTTCATACTCCAACTTTCTGGAGTTTCCTTTCGGGCTTTTTTTTTTTTTTTTTGGTTTTCGTCCCTTCGAACCCGGGCCTCGAGAAGAAAGGAGGCGGTCTCCACGTGATTTTTCCTTAGGGCTGAGATGAATCGTAGTGTTGATGATAGAAATCCCTAGGGTTCCTTTAAAGGCATCTATAGGGGTACCTTTAAAGGGTTCCTTTAAGGGATCTATAGGGCTTGAGGGTTTAGGGCTGATGATCTAAATCCTGCAGTACCTTAAGGACCCTAAACTATGGGAATAATGGTATATTCCTTATTATTATGGGTAATGCAGGATTTACGTCATCAACTTGTAGCTCCAACGACAATTCACATGCTTGGGGGTCTACGCCTTCGAGAGGGTCCCAATTCTGAAAGTCCCATGTACATACATAAACATATCTTATGAACACGACCTCTGTACACCTGTCGACGCCCCAAACCCCATCACCCTAAACCCTAAACCAGAAACCCTGAACCCTAAACCGTTGCCCTGTAGCCTGAAATCCTAAACTCGAACCCTACAAGCCGTGTAAACCCGTGGCCTCGGCCGCAAACCCCTGAAAAGGATGTAAACGCCTCTGCTGATTGAAACCCCATAAAGCCCAGCATAAAGGCTCTAAGCCCCGCCGCCTTCCCTGACCCCAATGGCCTAAAGCCTACAGCCTAAGCCCTAACTCCTGCAAGTAACCCCCAACCCTAATATAGGGGCCTTATTTAATTAGAATAGGGTTTTCGGACCCATTATACTATAATTAGAACAAGGATCCACCAAATAGTATAGGCAATTAATAAGGCCCCTATAGTCTATAGTACACCGCCCAGCTTCATGCACGCCATGAAGAGCGCCCCTCCAGCCGCCTCTGGTGCTTCGGCTTTGTCGAGCTCGTACCTCAATAAGCTTGGGTGTGTTTAGGGATTCTAGGGTTTAGGGCTCTTTCTGAAAGTTCGGTTCATGGACTATAGGGATTTCAGGCTTGGCCTCTTAGGAATTCTAGCGTTTCGGGTTTAGGGCCCTTGGAGGGAGGGCCACAAGGGGCGTGCTGAGCCGAGTAAAACAAGTGCTTTATGGTCCGTTTGGTGTACAGCCATGCTAATGGCACCGTTTACCCGGAACAGCGACCCTTACATCCGTCAACCTTACACTCGCAAGTAAAGAGTGGTCAGAAGGCTTGCCAATTAAAGCAATTTGTACCGGATTTCGGTTGTGGGTGTCAGGTTGCAGGGTTTAGGGATCCTTTTCAACGTCAATTTTAGGGAGTTGGGCTTCGGAGGTATAGGGCTTAGGGGCAGGATGTAGCTTCTCTTTCGGTAGGGTCCGACAAACCCTGAGGCCCCATGTGCCCATATAGTAGATACTTAGGCCTTAAAGTACCTATATAGGGGCCCCTTTAAGGCCGAAGTACCTACTATATCAGCACATGGAGCCCTTGGGAAACTAAGGGTTAACTAGCGTCCAGAAATCAAGCCCGAAACTCGGACCCTTGGCTGTGAGATACCACTAAAACCAAGGCCCTAGAGTTTAGGGTTTAGGGTTTAGGGGTTTAGGGGTTAGGGTTTAGGGTTTAGGGTTTAGGGCCAACATCATGAACCCTCAACCCTCAAATCCCAAACTCTCAACTCTGAAAACGTAAACCGCACGCTTTAGAACCAAAGATTCTCAACCCAGGCCAACTGAACCACTGAATCCAAAACCGCAAGCCCTGAAACTCAAACACAAACCCAAAACCCTAAACTCCCTAAGCCCTGAGTCCCCATCAAAATGCCTTAAATGTGAGTTTCCGAAAATTAGGGGTACCTTATTTTGGGGTCCTTATAGTAAGGATCCTACTAATTCGGGTACTACATTCGGGTCCCCTATTTTGGGAAACTCCCAAATGTGGAACCCTAAACCCTTCTCAACTTTGAGCCCTGCCGAGAAGACTAAAGAGCTCAGGCACTCTTCCACCATCAGGCGGACGAGCTCCACATGCCCACCAGTAGCCGCCTCCAAGGAAACGTAAAGGGTTTAGGGTTCCGGGTTTAGGATTCAGGATTTGGGATATAAGGTTTAGGAGTTACCTTAACCCTGAAGGACCTACCTTTTAAGGGCTTATATAAGGAAATCAGGATAAGGAACCCTAAAAAAGGTAGGTTACTCAGGGTTAAGGTAGGGTTTGGGAGTTTTTTGGTACTTTTAGGGCTTGGGTTTGGGATTTGGGCCTAAGGCTCAGGCTTAGGGTTCAGCGTCGGATTTGGCTTTTGGGGGTTTCGGCATTAAGTCAACAAGGGAATAGCATCCGTTCGAAAACCTATACTGAACTTAGAACCCTCGCAAAAATTATGTGTGTTGCTTGTTCTTAGGGGTTATAAAAACCAAAGATTAAACACTATTTCGAAGTATCCCTAAGAAACAACCTACCCCGGCAAGGGGGTAGGGCCAATCCCGCCTTGAGAAATGCGCTTTCTGGACGACCATCGGCACCAATGCTCCTTGGTTGGAGTGCCGTGCTTGGGGATGTGAGGGTCATGTGAAACATAAAACCTGACATTTCAGATTTCGGATTCGGAATGCGGGGGGGGGTCGGGCTTGATAGGGTCGACTTTAGAATACTGAGGGGGTCATACCCTACCCCTTTCTTAGGTTGCCTAGTTTTATGGTAAGGAACTGTTACATAAAAAGTAAGTACTCAAACAAAGGGGCAGGGCATGACCCTATTGGTAGGGCACAGCACCGCCAAGCTTGCCCTCGGCTCTATCCAGTCAGATTTGTCGGTAAGCGCCACATGCGAATCATGTAGGGACCTTAAAGACTAGAATGAGGATGCCGCGCCCAGTATAGTCTCCGTAACTGTGCAGGGACTATAAAGAGGGGCTTCTTTCCCGATGCGTAGAACAGCGGTACTAGCGTGGCATGCAGGGCTCCCATCAACATTAGCCGTGTTTACATGGCGCAAGCCGACCTTCGAGCAATCTAAAGATCTGAAACCGACGGAATTTCCAGCATAATCTCTAAACTCTGAAACCCTAAAGCCTAAACTCTCAAGGCTATAAACGCCCTGCAGATCCACAACCACCCCAAAACCTTAAAGCCCACGAGATCTTCGACTCACGGGCACTGGTCGTTCCACTCTCTAAGGGTCCATGTGCCCAAATAGGCTCCTTTACGGGTTCCATTGAAGGGCACCTTTAAAGGTACCTTAGGGGTTCTTTAGGGGCTTAAGGTTCTTTTGGGGCTTAGGGTTTGGGAGTCACTTCAGTCAGATGCCGTCGAGGCTGTCGGATGTTGAGGGGTTCAAGCTTCTTGATGAAGGGTTTAAATTTCTCAAGGCCTGGGATGAACATTTACAGGGTATTTGGTTTAGAAATTCAATTTTTGCGCATTCGGGCTTGGCGGTGCCCACTGTGGACTGTGGCAATCACTGACAAACTTGCTACAACAGGAATGTGCTGAAGGAACCCTGCAGTAATTAGACAGCTCTTCAGTGCTTCAGTATGTCTTTACAAAGGCGAGCAGTCCCTAGTGCTACCCTTGATGGTCCCGCCCTCAGCTCTGAATACTCTGGCCTTAACTTATAGGCTAATGATCGAGAAGCTTCTGAAGCGCGACACCTCCTGTAGGGTACTAAAAATTAGAATAAGGGTTTGCAGCTCCACTACTGTATAAGTACTAAGTATGTAGGCTTCTATGACAAATCCTGAGTCAATGAAGCGCGGCTGAGGCTCTTCTTTGAAGCATCTGCTCGAGCGTCCAGCAAGAGTCGTGTGGTCTCGACCAGCCCCATAGCTGCTGAGACTTGTAGTGGCACTGCCTTTTCGTGTTTAGGGTGGAGTGTAGACTGATATAAATATGGGAACCTGGCCAAGCGACCTTGGGGCGTTGTTGGGGCTGTTTGTATAGACCGTCATATTTTGGGGTTACAGCGAACTGGATGGTTTCAAAGCAGATCTGGTGTAACTTTAAGGGAACTACACAGGGCTGAAATTCTTGAGCGACCCAACACCTACTTGTTTGGCTGGGTCCCTGTATTTTCGATATTCCGGCTTGTAACCAGGTACCTACAAAATATAGGTCTGTGTAAGCCCTAGGTTCTCGCAAGGTAGCTTAAGGTAGACGTTGCCGCAAAAGCCGTGTTTGCTCCTTCCCGCTGCTTCTGGAACCTAGAAGATGGGTTGCTATCCGGCCGCTGGTGTCCAGAGGGTTGTTTGCTACCACCGGCGCAGCGGGTTGCATCTGCAAAGAAAACCCTCTGCATCCCTGGTCGGATAGCAAAAACTACTCTGTATAGATTCCAAAGTGAGCAGGTAGGAGCAAGATTGGCGCGGAGCAAAACCACTTCCCCTCTGTGAAATCTAAAACATAGAACAAGCTTATATAGATGCTACACCCTGAAGCTACTGACAAAAACCTCAACAGGTGGCCAACCCTAACCCTCAACCCTAATCCCTAACAGCTCATTCCGGGACCGAAGGGTGCATCTGCACGGTTGGAGGAATCAAACGCCTACCGAACCATGCAAAACCGTAAACCCTCGCACAGTCCATCTGAAACCCTTCTACCTTTCTAAACACGAAACACTTGTCCAAAACCCTGAACCCTAAACCCCCTGAACCCCAAACCTCTGAACCCTTCAAGAACCCTCCTTGAAGAACGCGGAACTGAAAACTTTGCTTCTATCCAGCACCACGACACTATCCGCATCAGAGCCCAAGTACCCACGATTGTGGGCCGTAACGCCTCTGTTAAAGGGTACCTGTAAGGATGCTGGATAACCCGAACCCTGATCCCTTTCTGAAGCCATGACCTTCCAACCCTTAAAAATGCCCAAAACGCTAGACGCTAAACCCTGAACCTCTCTATATGCCTGAACATACCAGAACCTTAACGTACTAAACCCCTTATAGGACCCTGCTTGTAACCCATAAGGAAGCCCTTAGGTTAGTAAACCCTAGACCTAACTGTAAAACCGTCCAAACCCGAAAGATCCCTCCCCTTTAGAACCCGTGAAGGAGCCTCGGGGAGAGCCCCAAGCCCAAAATGTTAATCCTTACACCCTGAACCATAGGCCCATCTAAGATCCAATAAGTCCCAAACCCACTCACCGGAGCTCGGCCTGACCATGTTCTGGTAGGTCCGGCGTTGCTCTGGCCTCGATAAGAAGTCGCACGGCATCTACGTGGGCACCACGGCAGGCCAGGAACAGAGCACCTCTCAGGGTTTAGGGGTTTAGGATGTCGGGTTTGGGCCAGAGAAATTGGCTTTGCAGAGGGTCCTATAGAGTTTTTATAGGGCTTTAAAGTAGTATGTAGGGGTGAACAAAGCGCCTCAGAAATTGCAGCGGGATGCCAAATGGCATCGAGGGTCCTATGCGCGTTTAATAGGGCTTTACAGGACTTGTAAGGGCTTATAAGGGTTTGGGGTTTCGGGTTTTTTGCTCGGGGGCTTTCGGTCGATAGTCGAGGGTTGAAATGTGTAGTGGTTTTGGATAGAGCAGTGCGGCTGAAGTGTATGTACGATGCCACTGCTACACCCAACTACCTACACCAGGCCTGAGCGAAGCGAACACACAATCAGAGTATAGCACCCGGTATACAACATAGCAAAACAAATGTGCCTGCACCGTCAGGTAGGCATTTGTCCGGATCTGCCTGGGCTTCCAGCAGAAGCCGCGTAATTTCGTCAAAGCCTAAGTGCTCTTTCAAAGGGTTTAGGGTTACGCAGTTTAGGGCAAAGGGTTTCGGAGGTACTGTTGATGGACAAAATCCTACATGACCCTAAGGACTCTAAACTATGGGAATTATATGGTATATTCCTTATAATGGGTCATGCAGGATTTTGTCCATCAGCAGTATTGCGCTAAATTGTGAACCAGAAGTTGAATCAGGAGAGTCGAGCTCCTTGTATGGTAATCCGAAACCCCAAACTCCCCCCTAAACTCCCTAAACCCCTAAACTCCTTAAACTCGCTAAACCCGACAACCCTCAGGAACCCCAAAGTAGTATAGGCAATTCTTACCCTAACCCTGAAGGACCTACCTTTTTAAGGGCTTCTATAAGGAAATCAGGATAAGGAAGCCTAAAAAGGTAGGTGATTCAGGGTTAAGGTAAGGTTCCCACAGTAATCTCGCCAAGGCTCCGTGATGGCAAGACAGACAGAGAAGAGTCGCCTCGCCCTCGCGAGTGTCCCGTATGTCCGGGTCGACCGGTTGGTTCAACAGCCGCTCCTGCTTACCCAAAGGGTCCTATGTACCTATATAGTAGAATGAACGGTTTCTATATTAGGAATTACTATTGTGATCCAGGGAAGTATCCCCCATAACAGTACATAGGACCCTTTGGGTTAGGGCTTTAGGGGTTTAAGGGTTTAATTAGGGCTTAGGGGTTCAGGGCTTCAGGGTTTAATTAGGGCTTAGGGGTTCAGAGTTTTAGGGGTTTAGGGCTTTGGGGGTTTAGGGGGTTAGGGCTTCAGGGTTTTAGGGTCTTAGGGTTTTAGGGTCTAGGGCTTAGGGCACAAACCGCCATTCGCTGTAATCTGAGCTATTTCGCAATGTTCATCCCAAAGATCTTCTTGGCATTGTGATATGACATGTTGCTACTTCGAACAGAATATGTTACTGCAGTGGGTGGGATAATGTTGTGCTGCAAGGGTAAATATGTTTGATTTAGATTCTGTTGTATGTATGTACGCATGTATGCATGTATGCATGCATATACCGTGTGTAGAAGCATGTAAACATGTATGCATACATGTATGTAAGTATGTATGTATGCGTGTAGGTCTACTATGTACGTATGAATGTTCACGTGTAGGACTGTATGAGTGCATGAATGTGTGTATGTATGCATGCATGCATGCACTCCTGCGGGCAACTCGGGCGGTAGGCAGGTATGGTCGTTTGCTTGTGTGCGCACGCATGCACGTATGATGCTATGATATGCTATGCGATACTATGTTCTATAATACGGTGCTACGCCATTCCACGCAGCACAAGGCCTTGTTCTGATACCACTGATCATGCTACAAGCAACAGGAGTCACAGAGTCGATACACAACTCCTCAAAAATATGCTTTGTATCCTGTACATGTAATGTACGTGGTGAGCTGAGTACATCCCGGGCTATATTGAAACTCTAGGTAGGCCTTCTATCGATCGATGTGTGACAACGATGAGTCTACTATCTACTCCGGCTGTCTCTGTCAACCCGTATGGATTTGCATGTATATCTCTACGTACATTTGTTTACAACGTACAAGTATGTCCAATTGGCACTATGAACTATACACTGTACGTTATATTACGTGATGCAATATGCATTCTACCCTAAGGGCCCATGTACCCAAATAGTATATACTATGGCTCCAATGTACGTATATAGGGACTATTGTAAGGCCAGCGTATAAACCAATTATGGGTACATGAACCCTTATAGGGATACAGATGATACTGTACACTTTGCAGAACACCATAGGCTGTCTAGAAGACAACTAAACTTGCAAAAAAAAACAACAACCACTATGCAACATTCAACATGCAAAAAAAAACACAAACGAGCGTGCACCAACACAGCAAAGAGTGGTATACACATATATACGCATACGTCCACCCAGTCATGCATAGGTGCAAGATAGATGTAACTTACGTTACACACACACACACATACATGTGCGCAGACAGACAGACTGACTGACAGACAGCCTACCGACAAACGACAAACCGGCACATACAAACACACACACACACATGCATACGCACATATAGATAAATGCACATACACGCAAACACACACAGATGTACACATGCACTCACACAAACACATACATACATACATGCGTGCATAGATACATGCATCCTTCCATACATACATACATACATGCATACAGACATACAAACTGACGTACACACATACACGCATACATACATACAGGCATACATTCAAACAGAAATATCCAGCTACCTACCTACACGCCTAACTACATATGTAATTACGCACATCCGCACATACATACATAGATGCATACACGCATACATACGATCATGCACTACGTACTTCTTTACATACATGCACAACGTACATACAATCTATCGGGATCATGGACGGCATCGTGCGGCTTTTCGATGTGTTTGGGCCTTCGGTTCTTGTGCTCAGGGGCTTGAGTGAGTTGAGGATATAGATGTGAGAGGAAACTTGGATCAACATATATATCTAAATATAAACACAGGTACGTATGTATATGTACATACATACAGACATGCATGATGCATACATACATAGATTGAAGGTTTAGGGTTGAGGAGATTGCTCGAAGCACTCCGAGGGCCGTGCCATGTTGCTCACTGAGTTCTTGGTCGCATGTCGAAAGCACTCCTGCCCGGCTCCCGCTACTTGAGACAGCAGCTGGGTCGTACTATAGGGGCCTGAATAACTATCTATATACTGTTTTGGCGTACCTTATTGTGATTATAGTATAATATACCGCCAAACACTATTTAACAATTAAGGCCCGGTATATCTCGCACGCTGCTTGCCAACGCCGAGAGAGGATGAAAGTTGGCCTGAGATCATCTGGGCATGCAAAGCAGGCAGGTTACAAAGTTGCTCGGGCCCGGTGAAAAAAAGCAAGACCCTGAGCTTAACGAACCCAAATCCCCGAAAGCCCAAGGCAGCACAAGTAGCCCTTCGCACGTGAAGAAGGAAGCCCGGTGCTTACTCCCACATACCGGCACTCTGCACTCCCAAGGTGAAGCCGTGTGCCAGCTTCTGGGTTTCGCGAATTTTAAGGGCTGGGTTTAGGGTTTAGGTTTATAATTATCTTACCTTTGGTTAGTAGGGAATGGAAGAATGGTAGTAATAGTAGTTATAATTGTACCCCATTCCTCCATTCCCTACTAACCAAAGGTAAGTTATTAGTCTTTGGGGAGAAAGGGTTCAAGGGCTTGGGGAGTTGGGGTTTATACAATGTAAGTCTTCGGGGATTAAGGGCTTAGGGGGGTTCGGATATGGGGTTGCGGGTTTTGGAGCAGACCCCGTTTTAAAAGCCTGGGGCAAATGCCGTGCACCTGGACCAAGAAACTCTCAAGACCCAAGGAACATATCCTAGATGCGGACTAAAATGAAGTTGATATTGCATACCTCCGTAAAGCCCTAACCCTCAACCCTGAAGCCCTAGACCTGAAACCCTACACCCTAATTTTAGTTGGTCTCGGCAGCTGAATCTTGTTGATAGAGTCTTCGCAAGCACTGGACCCGAGTACCGACCAAGAGCCCGAAGCCTAATGACTGAAACTAAAAAAACTAGCCGAAAACCTAAACTCTGAACCCCCAAACCTAGAAAGACCCTAACACGTGAAGCCTGACAGAAACCGAGCTGCCCCACTACACCGAAATCCAAAACCAAAACTCTAACACCCCAAGCCCGACCCCTAGGCTCCTTCGCCAATGCCTTCGTGATCTTTCCTGAGTGTCGATTTCAGCAGTCCACCCCCAAAAAAAATTCAACTACGGATGTATGCGTAATAAACAATAAGGCCTAAACCCTAAACCCCTACACCCCTAAACCCTAAACTGGGTTGTGCTTTAAACCCTTTGAGAATTATTTATGAATAGGTTCCGAAAATAAAGAAATAAGGGAACTTGAAAATTATCCCAAAGCACAACCCAGTAAATCTGTAACTAGGATACCCAGTAACCTAAGAAAAAGCCCTCTCTTTTTGATATTGGGTAACTTTATGAGGAACCTAGCACTACAAAAAGGGAATAAGGGTACTACTGGGGATCCTAGGTAAGCCGAGTTTCTGAAAGGCAGAAGGACCAGCTGCAACTCCGCGGGCCCTTCGATCTGATCGTCATCCTTCAGGTTTAGGGGTTTATAGGGATGCAATAAGGGTTACTATAAGGGTTCCTACCAAGAGGATTCCTTTAAGGGCTACTATGAGGCGTACTATAAGGGTTATAGTATAGGGGTTTAGGGGTTTATAGGGGTTTAGGGGTTATAGGGGTTATAGGGTTTACAGGGGTTTATAGGGGTTTAGGGGTTTCTTTGAGAGTTCGAATCGGAGTTGCTTTCAGGGTTCCTCTCGCAGTTCTTTTACGGGTTCAGGGTTTAGGGGTTTAGGGTTACTCTCAGGGTTCTTTACGTTCCTTTAAGGGTTCAGGGTTTAGGGATTTAGGGTGTAGGGTTTAGGGTTCCATTTAAGGGTTCCTTTAAGGGTTCCTCCAAGGGTTCCTCTGAGCTCTCAGGGCTGAGGGATTTAGGGTTTAGAGTTAAGAGTTCCTTCAAAGGCTCCTTTAAGGGTTCAGGGTTTAAGGATTTCGGGTTTAGGGTTCAGGGTTCCTTTAAGGGTTCCTCTAATAAGGGTTTAGGGATTTAGGGTTTGGGGTTCCTTTCAGGGTTCCTTTAGGTTCTGCCAAGGATTCCTGTAAGGGTTCCTTTACAGGTTCAGTTAAGGGTTCAGGGTTTAGGAAATCAGGGTTTAGGGTGTAGGGTTTCTTTAAAGGTTCCTTTAAGGGTTCCTGTATTGATTCAGGGTTTAGCGGTTTAGGGTTTAGGGTTCCTTAAGGGTTCCGGTAAGGGTTCCTCTGAGGGTTCCTTTAGGCGTTCCTTTACGGGTTCAGGGTTGGGGGTGTCCAGGTTTAGAAGGTTTAAGGGTGTAAGGGCTTAAGGCTTTAGGATTAAATGTTCAGCTCTATCGGAGCGGCCCACAATGCGCCGTTTTCCACAGAGCTAAGGGTTTAGGGTTTGGTGGTTTGGTGCTTCAAGGGTTTATAGTCGGGCTTTGGGGTTCAGAACCGTTCATTTCTGACTCTGCGACATGGATCTTCAGGAGTTTTGAGATTGCCGTCTGCAGTCGCAAACGGCTTAGGGCTTGCAGGATTGCGCCTTGATGATGCCCTTGTCTGCTTTTGACTGCACCGATCAAGAGCCTAAAGCCTCATGACTCAAAATACGTCTCCATTGTAGTTCCTTTTTTTGGGTTACTTTACAGGATCCCTAATATATAATTGGCTAAACCGAATAGTCGAACCCTCTTGCGCTCTTGCGAGGGATCCAGATATCTGAGATGCACTGGCTTTCTCGTTCTAGGGAAACTTTCAGTCTTGCCATCCCCTATAAAGCCTAACCCCGGGTCCTAAACCCCAAACCTTAACCCTAAACGCTAAACCCTAAGCCCTGAACCCTAAACCGTAAACCTAAGACTCCATAGACCTCAACCCCGTGGACAAAAGGCTCCACATACTCAGCTCCGGCAACCCTGCCATCCTCCAATCGGGGCCTTGATAATCCGAATAAGTGTTTGGGGTAACGATACATTATATAGTGCGTGTTCCCTGAAATTGCATCTCGCCAATAACCATTATGAGGTTGAGGGATTCTATGTAGTCGTGTGGACAATAGCTCCTAGCGTACTATATGGCCTTTACGCGCATTTCTTCAGAGATTTTGCAAGGTCCTGGAGGGCAACGCCACTCTCACGAACCAGCTGTTGCCGAAAGCGCGGATGTCCACAAAATGCCTGTAAATGCCGCTTCCTCAGCTGGCGAAGTTCTTTGGGTTTAGGTTGGCCTCCCATAGGCCACTGTTTCTTACTATGGCCTACAAAAAGGCTTTGTCCAAGGTCGGAAATCATCTTCAAAGATTTCGGGTATGTAGCTAAGAGCTTGCTTCGGAAGGCCTTATAAGAGTACGTGCGAAGTTTAACAGGAAGCTATAGGGCTTGTTTCGAACCATTGTGCCAAAAGTAACCAGAAACAACGTATTGACAGCAATGATGCAGGATTGTCAATCATGTCACTATTCCCTAAACGCCAAAGCCCGAAATCCTAAAACCCCTATGCAAGGGCTAAACTTCAGGTCCTCAAGCCTAAGATACCTGCACATGTCACCTCTGAGCACGCTGCGTAACCTTCCGAAAACTATGAACAACGAAAAGTCAAAACTCTATAAGCCCTAAGCCCCACAAACCCTCCGAGCTTCAGCCGAAGGTTCAGAACGATTCTGAGCCCTAAACCCCGTCAAATCCGAAGCCCGAAAAATCTGAAACACTAAGCCATATATACGTGTGTGTATATATATATATACACACATGCATACATACATGCATAAACCGTAAACAATTCCTGGACCCGAAAAGTATGAAGAACAAAAGCCTTTTGAGGGTGTTGATATTATACTATGGTGGTCGAAGGTTCAGTGCGATCACGGGCTTCCCGCTGTCCCCAACCAGGTCAGCGAGAAGCTCCGGTGACACCGACGTCACGACCTCTAAGAGAGGCCAGATAGAGTAAAGAGCCCTGCGAAAGAATATGAATTGAAGAACGGGTTTGGGGTGCTTAAGAGAAACAAAACTCAGTAAGACCGTTGTGCTAGACTTTCAAGTTTACGGGTTGTGGGTTTGGGGGCTCAGGGCTGTTGGGGTTTAGGGGCTATGAGGGCTCAGGAATGTGGGATTTTACGGTTGTGAGGTTTAAAGGGCTACCGACAAGAGGCATCCACGGGTTCTATACGCGAAACGGCGATTGAATTCTTGGGCTGGTGTGTGCGTGTGTGGCTTGGAGTTTAGCATCAAGCTTATGATGCTACGAGCAGTCTATATAGTGATTGTCCGAGAGAACTCCATGCAATCACCAACAACCACGTTGACAACCCAAGGACAACCAATAACATAACAAGACAACAAAACTTTGGTAAAGTAACTGGTCCAATCACACCGTAACTTTCGGAGAGGTAAACTCTAAAACTTGCTCGCTCCTCAAAATCTGACACCACTTGCTCCGCATTCACTTCCAAATTACACGAACAAGCCGCGGAGACTCAAGGGATAATCTACCCAGAGGCCCCATAGTATCTCCTTTTGGGGATTACCTTATAGGATTCTATACATGAACCACAAAAAGGAACTGCTTTGGGGATTTTGGGTAAGTCCCTCGCCGTCAGTGCACCCAAAACATGCTGAATCGACCCTGGACCAGCGCATGATGACTGCGCAAGGCGCGGAACATACGGACGACACTTACTCTTTAATGCAAATCCCGAAGGGCCGCAATAGCAGGCCGAGATTGCGCAAAACTCAAGACTCTAAATCCCGAACAAGCCTCAAACTAAGCCTCTTGATTTCCCCGCATACGCAAAGCTCTCAGCGCAAAAGCCATTGCACAAACCCTATCCCCCCCCCCGACCCCTATAGAATGAAAAGATGTCTTGAACTCGCAGCCCAGGCTCCTCCCCCGAGGCCCAGCGCACGCACAACATCGCAGCAAAGTGGGGCTTACCGACGGCAGGGCAACCCGCTATTGCTGGCACGGTTAGGATTATGTGCCTGTCGGAATTCGAATAATTATAAGGTTTTGGTACATTTATCATTTGTCATTATAAAAAAACTGAGGATTTCTAGGGCTTAGGGTGCACCGGTCTTTTAGCCGGACCTGGAGCCTCGTCTTTCTGCGGCATCGATGAGGGTCGGCTGTGTGTTGCTTTTGTGCCAGTGCACGGGGGCTTGGATGGGCATAGCATTTACGGATTATTTGGGGCCCGAAGCCCTAAAGCTCAACACTCCAACCCCTGTGAAACCTAAACCCTAACCCCTAAAGTGTGTAGGGTTTAGGACTTCGGAAGCCATACCTAGCTTCCTGCCACAGCCCATCTAAAACCCCCAAGCAAGGCCGCCCCAAAGAGAGGGAGTTATATTAGGGCCTACCACTTGAGAAAGAGCCCGCCCAGGAAAGTTCTTGAGACGCTCAAGCAAAGCATAGCACGCAACGCTGGAACATAGGCACGTCCCTTCTTATGAATTTGTGGGGGCTAAGTTGGCGAATTCCGATGACGGATAACTCGCCAAGTATAGACATCATGGGAGGGCCTGATAGGGGACAAGACGCGGCACAAGCAAACAAACACATGAATCAGGGTGTGGTTCTACTGTCAATCCCACTAGACAAAGAAAAAACGAGCTCGTCAGATTTCTGAAGCAGGCCTATAATTACAGCAGCTATCCCTGAACATGAACCTTGCTTCACATGAAGATCTTGGTTGAAATAAGAGACCGAGGGGCAGGGTGGGTGCGACAGAACCACGCAGTGTCAGATGTTTAACATGGGTGTAGAAGACTCTGCGCTTATGGTACAAGATCTTACTCCAAAGCGAGGTTGTAAGGGAGGCTGGTATGACAACTGCCCTGAACTGGAATGAGGGAGCGAGACGTATACAGTCATGTGCCGCACCGTGCTTTGGTCCCAAACCCGAATCCAGCTAACCCATGAACCCTGAACCCTTGTCGCATCCCCCCAAGATTCGGAAACGCTTCGTGCGAACCGTACAGAACCTACTTTGTTTGTAGCGCCCCTATAAATTCTAGATTGGGTTCGTAAGAATAACCTGAAAAGTAGGTTAGAATAGCTTCAGGTATAAGCTCTACACCCCTTTTAGTGCTGATTGAACTCCAATGCCTCCTCAATCCGACAAAACTCTGCAGGAAATACCTCGGTGCTCGAGTGGGCGAGAAGAGCTGTACCCGAGCTACACCACTTGAGCTCGGCAAGTTGACCTCGGCGTGGTTTTGCAGTCTGTCTGACGCTAAGTATCATGTTGTTTATTCGTCATTTCGTCGTCATTTCGTCGTCATTTCAATATTTATGCGGCTCTTTCGTGATTTTTCGTTTGCTGTTTCGCTGTTTAGACACTTCAATATTTTCGTCTGCCCACTGGTTATTGCTTCATAGATGTGCTTTGTTCGCTCTTTCTTCACTTATCATTTGTGTAGCAACTCTTATTTCGTTCGATCGTTCGTTCGGTCGTTCTCTGTGTTTCGTTATTTGGTTGTCTCTTTATTGCTTGTATGTACTTATGAACTATCTCTCGTTGCTGTGTTGTTGGTTTCATTTATGTCTATATGTCATGACTTCTTTCTTACATGTCTTCGCAAGGTTCGCTATTTCCAGCTTTGTGTCTTCCTCTCTCCCCCTCTCTCTAGTTCGTTTTGCCTGGCTCTTTTCTCTATCAGTGCTTATATTGTTCTGCAGAACTCGCATTCCATGCTCTATGGTCGGCCGCATGTATAGGAAAACCTTGATGTGTTTTGAACTGAAGCTCAATGCTCAAAGACCGAAGTTGCGACGTGTAAAAATGTACATTCGTCATAGAAGCTAAAACAAGCATTCACAGCTTCGAAGGTCTGTTGGAGTAAAAAGCGAGTTTAGACCGTGCGTGATTCATGGCCGTTGGCGCAGGTTCGTCTGCATAAGTCCTTCTGCCTGGATAACAACGTTTTCAGGTTATGAGCGCCCAAGCACCAGAGGGCGACTCCGCGAGAACCCGTCTGCAAAGAGATGGCGCAGCAGTGTATGGCACCCTGCCAAATGGTGTTGTACGAGTTCCGGCACAAATGGATGCTGGTGTGATGGGGCAAAGTGGACAGCAGCTTTTGGAAAATCCAAAACTACATGATCCCGCACCCATCGCTGGTGATCTACAAGCTGGAACGACTATGACTTTTGGTGAAAGGCCTACGCAACCGAAGCGGGTGGAACCGGCGTATCAAGCAGCACCGGACCCGAGCGCGAACGTTATAAACGAACAGGTTGCTTTAGCTGCACCTTCCGTTGTGACGGTGAGAGACTTGACAACTCCAATGACTCCTACGAGTTCAGCTATGAGAGTGCAAGAGTTTTATTCTGCAGAAAGTGGGTCGTCGGGACCAGAGCAGAATGGAGTCAGATGGTTTGCACGAGTGTCGGAGTTTTTGAGGACTACAGCGCATCGTGGAGCTGAGGGTATGGATCGTGTGCTGGAGAGTCTCCGTATTCCATCGGTGCCCCAACAACGAGCTATGAGGGAGATCCAGGTGAGAGCTTCTACAGGTACGCCTTTGAATATTTCACCGCCTGAAGAGCTACCTGGACATGCTCCTCCTCTACCTCCTCCTGTTCCTCTGTCGTGGGCAGCTCGGCCAACGGAGCCTCCGCTGTTCGATGAAAGGCAGCTGGAACAGATGCGACAAGCCCAGCGAGATCATCCCTGGATATATGGGCACAGGGCTCAGCAGTCAGAGCCGGAGTCCGAACGATCCTCAAGACTTCAGGCTGAGGTTCAACGTCAGCTAGAGGAGTACACTATCCGACATCAAGAGCAAGTTGAACACCTGGTTCGTGAAGTGGAACAGCTGAGGAATGAGAGAAGCTACTGGATGGGTAGAGCTTCAAGGGTTTCAGAAGGACAAGGAGGTTTGAATGTACCCGGAGAAGATCTTCCTAATCTACCACCCAGAGCTCCACTACCACAAGCACCTACAGTACCTCAAGGGAATCCTCAACAGTCTGCCCACGAAGGAAACCAGGGAACTTTACTAGAACAGCAACCTTACCGAGGACCCGAAGTATGTCAGCGAGATCATGCTCCAGTACCACAGGTTCCTACAGTACCTCCAGGGAATCCTCAACAGTCTGCCCATGAAGGTCAAGGCCCTGTACCGGGAGATGCTGGAAGCTATAGAGAAGGACTCGGTAATGTACAAGAAGTACCTACAGTACCTCGAGGGAATCCACAACAGTCTGCCCACGAAGGTCGTTTTTATGAGCATGCACGCGGTCAAGAGTCTGGTCCTACCAATGAGCATGCACGCGGTCAAGAGTCTGGGGTCCCGTTTGGCGTTTCAGGAGATGGTTTGCCGGACACCAAGGACAGTCAGGGCGCAAGTGGCAGCGCGCAACAATCTTCCTCGCGAGGAGCGGAGGCTGGGCAATCGGCTCAGCAATGGCTAGGCGGAAGCGCCCCTAGTGATCCAATGGCTCTCTTGGCAGGAGGTATGGCTCAGCTCCAAGCCGTGATGTTGAAGCAGATGGTGAATAGCAATGAGAAAGATAAAACGAGTCCTACTGGTCCGGAGACTGTCAAACCTGGCACGTTAACGCTTCCTCCGCTACCACAGGTCAATCCTCAGACGAGCTCCGTGGACATTATGGACTGGCTGGAGGTGATCACGACGCCCATGCAGGACCTCTCGGATGGAAGTGCAGAGTGGTGGTCGAAGGTGAGAGCAGCAGCGACGGAAGCCTACAATCAGTGGGCCAGTGCGTCACCGGTTGAGAAGCTGGTGATTCAGCCTCCAAAGGAGGAAGAGTTGGAGTCGGGAAGATGGGGGAGAGTGAACTCCCGGGGAGCCTCGATGGTGCTTCTCACCTTGCACGAGTCGGTCAGACAAGAGATGGTTCAGAGGAGGTCTACGGGGTCAACATGTGCTTTGATATTCCGTTTGATGACAATCTACCAGCCGGGCGGGCAGCAAGAAAGAGTGCACATACTTCAGAGTTTGCAGTCGCCAGAGGCAGCAGCTACACCCCAGAAAGCTGTGACTTCGTTGAGGGCATGGGCAAGGTGGCTTCGTCGTTGTCAAGAACTCAATGTGACAGCCCCAGACCCAAGCTTGCTGGCCAGAGGGTTATCTACGATAACAAAACAAGTGCTGGAAAAGGACATGGAAGTGAACTTCCGCACCAGCCTGGTCCGTAGTACGCTTTTGGTAGACACGAAGCCATCCTACGACTCCGTGGAGAAGTACCACCACCACTTGTTGGCGGAATGTGAAACCATGGCAGTTGCGAGCTCTACGTTAACCTCAACAACAACCCCGCAGCCTACAGCTACCGGAGCTCCAAGACCAGAACCAAAAATCAAACCCATGAGGACGGACAGCAAGGACAATATCCCCGTTCCACCGCCGCCACCACGAACACCCTCAGGGGACCGAAGTTCTGGAGAGGACACCGAGAGGGCGGCGAAGGCAAGCGTTCCATGCAAGTTCTACGGCCTCACCTACAAAGGATGTGCCCGGGGAACAAAATGTCCGTTTAAACACTCGTGGGAGGGCAATGAGAAGGAGAAGCAGAACAGATGCTGGACCTGCGGTGGAAAAGGCCACTTGACGAAGGACTGTCACACCAAGAAGCCAAGTACGCAGACACCGGGAACACCGAAATCAGCGCCACAGAAGCCACCTACTTCACCAACCCCGGCGACCTCCCAGTCTACATCAACGAGCAAGACTGTTCGCATTGACGACGTTCCTCAAGTCGAAGCTGTGCCCCCCAGGACTTCAGCGGAGTCTTCGGCTTCAGAGGGAGCACCACAGGTCGACTTAAAGGAAGTGCTAGCCGATGTGGGGAAGATGTTGAAGTCTATGTCTGCCGTGAACATCAGAAAGGCTTCGGTGTTGGAGTTGGGATTTCAAGAGAAGATGAACCAGGTGGAAGCAGCGTTGAGGACATCGGTAGTGGATAAGAGTACTACAATGAATGGTTTGTTGGACAGTGGAGCCAGCCATGCAATGCGCGAGGCAACGGAGGAGGAGTACCAGAAGGGCCACCCTGTATCTGTCACCTTAGCTGGGGAAGATGTACGACTTCTACGGCAGAACTTGCAGGGTACGGTGTTGATCAAAAGCGAAGATGGACAGCAAGTACAACCGATAGTGCCACTTGGACCTGTCATAGAAGACCTTGGCTGTTCTTTGAGATGGAAGAAAGGTTCTTTGCAGCTCTACCACCCGAAGCGTGGAATGATGAAAGTGAACCTTGTTAACAACTGTCCAGAGCTGCAAGTGAAGGATGCTTTAGCCCTCATCCAGGAACTGGAAGCCAAGCATATCAAGCTCCTCAACGACCAAGTGGAAACGTTGAGTGCGCGCTTGGAAGTGATGAAGAAGGAGGTGCAAAGGCCCTGGGATGAGCTCTTAAAGGAGTATGCGGCCACCGGAAACCAGGCAACCCTTTTCAAGGTGATCCACACATGTCCCGTGACCAAGGACCTCCCTGAGGATGTCAAGGCCATGTTGATTGAGGGTTTCGATGTGAATTCTGGG